CTGTTGCTTTTTACAGATTCAGACTAACACGGCTACCCCTCTGATACTTGTCTCCAGCAGGTTACTGTAGCTGCTGGCAGGTCTTGTGAGAATCAGACCCATGCATTAATCCACCGGCCTCTGCTGCAGTCCCAGGGTGTGAGCGGGTGAGGCCCTAAGCAGGCTGTGGCTAACAGGCTGGCTCACGGGCTTGGATGCAGAGGGGAACCTGGTCGATTTCAGGGGGCTTAGAAAAGGGAAAGCACAAAGCCCTGTGACTGAGTTTGGAAACAGTCATTTGGAGAGACATGGACCACGTGGAAACCCAGAGATGCGGGTCAGCCTGTCCGGACACAGGAAACAGGCAAATGCGTCGTTTAAAAACACACCTGTATTTGGCGATTTCTTTTGGAGGGAATGTTAACTTCAGAGTTTGTTTGTTTAAAAAAGCAACAGCTCAAGTTAAAAGTGTATCTGATAAGGCCACAAGGAGTTGTTCGGGGCACAGGGTTCACCGGGGGGTGGCGGCGAGGTATCCTGCAGCAAAGGCAGCGGGGATGAGGCTCCCCTAGAGGTCGATGTCTGTGCTGCCCGACGAGGTCTTCAGTGGGACAGAATCGAACCCGTCCGACGTCCTCTGGAAACAGCAACAGAGAGCAGTTGTTAATGGGCTCCGGTCAGCGCATCTCACCCTGCGCCAAGGAGCGCCTCCCATTGACTTATACGCCCACAGTGCCTAGGAGCCTGCTGCTGGAGCAGGACCCGTGGCACTAGGCGCTGTACGAACACACAACACAAAGGTGATCCCAGTCCCAATAGCAATCTGGGAAGGGCAGGATGGTTGCGACCACCTGGCACCTGTTTGTGACCCCCCAGGTCGGGCCCCTAGGCTGAGGGCCCTGGTTTAGACAGAATTTCTCTCATCAGCTGGCAAAGGCCCAGACAGCGAGCCGACGGCCGGAGAACAGCGACAGCCCTGTACGCAAGGCTAGTGTGCCTTTCTCTCCAGCGGCCACCCCGTCTGCTAACGCACCCTACAGTCCGCCGCTCCAGCCCCACAGCTGCTTTCCCCACTGCTCTGTGTGCCCCCCACCCCAGCCTTGGGGGGGTGCATGAGGAGACCGGGGGGTTCCAACCCTGCCTTTGTGAGCAGAGCTGCACAGGTGGAAATAAGCGACACCTCCCACACCCCCGGGACTGTCACTGCATTGTGTGTAGATGTGCTGACGCCCCAGAGCCTGATCCCTGCAGCCTGGGCTGCCCAGGGAGACTCAGCTGGACCCAGCCAGGAGGGGCAGCGGGGGCAGGGAAGTGGGGAAGGAGAAGCTGGTGGGAAGGCAGCAGAGCTCCATGAACCAGCACCGACTCCAGGCCGGGACTGTTCTGGGCTCATTTCCAGAAATGCTGAGCGTCCACGGCTCCAGCCCAGGGAGCTGCAGGGCTCAGCGCCAGCCGTCAGACCCCCAATCTGCCAGCAGGGGGCTGCAAGCCGGGGAGGCCTCCGAGCAAATGCGGGGAGGCTGGTGGATAGGGTTACCATATTTTAATAGTCCAAAAAGAGGACACTTGGGCCCTGCCCTGACTCCGCCCTTCCCCAAAGTCCCTGCCCCGACTCCGCCCCCTCCCCAGAACGCTCCGCCCCCTTCTCCTCCCCTTCCCCTGCTTCCCGCGAATCAAATGTTTGCAGGAAGCCTGAAACAGGCAGGCAGCAGGTAAGCTGGGGCTGGGGCGGTGGGGGGCGGGGCGTGAGGAGGCGCGGCCCAGTCCGGCCCCCCCGGCCGAGTGGCTCCCTCTGGCGGCCGGCCCCAGCCAAGAGGCTCTGGCCCCGGCGTCTCCGGCCCTGCTCAGCTCAGGCCCTGGGGCGCCGGCCCCGGTTCCGGCTGAGCGCACCAGCCCCGGCCCTGGCCGAGCGGCGTCGGCCAGGGGCCGAGCACCCACAGCCCCAGTTCCAGTGGCTCTGGCCCGGCTCGGCTTGGGCCCTGGTTCCGGCCGAGCGGCTCCGGCCCGGCCCCAGCCCCGGCCCGGGCGAGTGGTGCTGGCCGGCGGCCGAGCACCCCCAGCCCCGGTCCCAGCGGCTCCAGCCCGGCTCGGCTCGGGCCCTGGTTCCGGTCGAGTTGCTCCGGCCTGGCCCTGGCCCTGGCCAAGCGGTGCTGGCCGGCGGCCGAGCACCGCTGGCAGGGCCGGCTTTAGGCCAATTCCACCAATTCCCCCGAATCGGGCCCCACACCTAAGAGGGCCCCGCGCCCAGTGGCAGAGCCGCCGGGGTGGGGGCAAGTGGCCGAGAATCCCTTCCCTGGCTAGAGGCTCCTTTTAAATTTTTACTCACCCGGCAGCGCTCCGGATTTTCAGCGGCACTTCGGCGGCGGGTCCTTCAGTGCCACCGAAGACCCGGAGCAAGTGAAGGACTCACCACTGAAGACTAGGAGCGCCTCCCGGTGAGTACAAGCCCCACGTGTTTGTTTACGTGGTTTTTTTTTAGTCATCCCTGCCGGGGCCCCGTCAAAACTGTTCGAATCGGGCCCCGCACTTCCTAAAGCTGGCCCTGACCGCTGGCCCCAGCAGCTCCAGCTCTGGCCCCAGCGGCTCCAGCCTGGACCCAAGCCCCACGACCCCTCCCTATTTTCCTGGACATGTCCGGCTTTTTGGAATTTCCTCCTGGACGGGGATTTGAGGACCAAAAAGCCGGACATGTCCGGGAAAATCCGGACATATGGTAACCCTACTGGTGGATTCAGGCCTTAGGAGCTTCCAGACCCCATCCCCCACCCCAAAGATTCATTGATCCTCCCTGCTGCCCACTGCCCCTCCAGCCCCAGCACAAGCCGCACCCTTCCCTCAGCTCAGCACGGGATGAGACGGGTGAGCTGAAGGGCCAAGGGAGAAGCATCCCTCCGGGCCTGCCTCCATCCCTCCTGCATCTGGCCCCCCTGGCCGAGAGTCCTGGAGGAGCCTCATCCCCCAGCTGGGGTGAGCCGGAGGGGCAGCACATGGCAGGTGGGAGGATGGCAACAGATGCAGGGTGTGGAGCCTCTGAGTGCTGCTGAATGGACTCACAACCAGGGCTGGAGGCGAGCCCCGCATTAGCAGCTTACTCCTAGAAATAAATCACTTTCGTTAGCGCTTCTCTAGCGCCAGCTACCAGAGAGTCCCCAGGAACTAGATAAAATAAGACCTAACCTGAGACCTGCCCTGGCACAGGTCTCATTAGCCCCATTTCGGGGATGGGGAAGCTGAGGCCCAGAGATGGGCAGTGACAGTACGTCTGCTGCAGAGCTGGGAGTCGAGCGCTGGCAGGCCCATGCTCATTTGTTATCCGGGTTACGGGAGCCTCGAAAGGCCCCAACAAGGCCTGAGGCCTAGTTGTGCCGGGTGCTGCACAGCAGGAGACAGGCCCTGCCACGGGAGGGCAAAGAGAGGGGAAGTGACTTGCCCAAGTTCACCCTGCAGCTTAAAACCCAGGTGTCCGGGCTCCCCGCTCAGAACCTACACCACGCTGCATCCCAGCACATCCCGAGCAAGCTGCTCTGTTCCTGAACGCAGGGCAGAGCTGATGCCATGTCTCTCTCTACCTGGGGGCCACCTCCTGCTCTTACTTTATTGGCATTGCTCCTACAGACTCATACAGCTGAGAAGGAAAAAGACAGTTACCTTTTTCCATAACTGGTGTTCGAGATGTGTTGCTCGTGTCCATTCAACTTAGGTGTGTTAAAAAAGTATGGATTGGATGAATGGACTATAAAGTGGATAGAAAGCTGGCTAGATTGTTGGGATCAATGGGTAGTGATCAACGGCTCAATGTCTACTTGGCCGGTATTGAGCGGAGTGCCCCAGGGGTTGGTCTTGGGGCTGGTTTTGTTCAACATCTTTATCAATGATCTGGATGATGGGATTAATTGCACCATCAGCGAGTTTGGAGATGACAGCTGGGGGGAGAGGTAGGTAAGCTGGAGGGTAGGGATAGGATACAGAGGGATCTAGACAAATTGGAGGATTGGGCCAAAAGAAATCTGATGAGGTTCAACAAGCACAAGTGCAGAGTCCTGCACTTAGAAAGGAAGAATCCCATGCACTGCTACAGGCTGGGGACCGACTGGCTAAGCAGCAGTTCTGCGGAAAAGGACCTGGGGATTACAATGTCATTGATACGAGTCAGCAGTGTGCCCTTGTTGCCAAGAAGGCCAACGGCATATTGGGCTGTATTAGTAGGAGCATTGTGAGCAGATCGAGGGAAGTGATTATTCCCCTCTATTTGGCACTGTTGAGGTCACATCTGGAGTGTTGCGTCCGGTTTTGGGCCCCCCACAACAGAAAGAATGTGGACAAATTGGAGAGAGTCCAGCGGAGGGCAACAAAAATGATCAGGGGGCTGGGGCATATGATTTACGAGGAGAGGCTGAGGGAACTGGGATTGTTTAGTCTGCAGAAAAGAAGAGTGAGGCGGGATTTGATAGCAGCCTTCAACTACCTGAAGGGGGGTTCCAAAGAGGACGGCGCTTGGCTGTTCTCAGTGGAACAACCTCCACCGCACCTAGTTGCAGTAACCCCTCTACCTCCTGCGCGAGGAGACTCATGAGAAAGGTCCTTGAAGAGAGACGGGGAGGGAGGATGGGAAGGAGGGGTAGAAAGCAACTGAAGGGTGTAACCCCGCGCCACCGTACTGAGGACCCGTTGGTCTGATGTTGTAGATGCCCACGCAGGGGGAAAGGAGAAAGGTGGTTGGTAAAAATAGGGGAGGGAGGATCCTGGGAACAGTCCGGTAGGTCGTCCTCAGGCATACCCTCAAAACGAGCGCTTGTCACCTGTTTATTGTGGGTCGAGCTCGACTGAGAGGCTGTTGGCTAGGACGCCACTTGTAGCCTCTGGATTTCTTATGGGGGGTGTGGTGGGGCGACTGCCCCACACCCAGAGAGAGTGGGCTGCGGCAGGCCTAGGCGCCTGCGTAGACGCGCGGCCAATCAGGAAAGGGCTTACTGGGAGCCAATCAGAAGGCAGATTGGGGCCAGCCAATCAGGGCCCGGCTTAGCCATATAAAAGACTGCCCAGAGCAGGAACAGTCAGTCTGTCCCAGGCCTTCAGAGGGGAAGGTCTGTCTCCAGAGCTGGGAGGCCAGTACCATGGACAGCGTAGTGCAGGCCAGCCTGAGAGAGTGGGAGAAGGCCCTACTCCATAGCCTGCCAGGCGGCAGGCCTGGGAGGAGGAGGCCTAGCGTAGAGAAGGGCTGTTGGGGAAGCGGTCCAGAGGGATAGACAGAGGAGGAAGGAGAAGGAAGACAGCGAGACTGTCACCCGAGGGCCTCTGGACCGGGACTCGGAGTAGTGGGCGGGCCTGAGTCCCCCCCCCTTCCCCCCTTTGTTTGCTGTGGTGCCCTACGCACAGCCACAGGCCGCAGGGAGCGGCCGGCCAGAACCACGCCAGGTCCTGGACCGTGAGGATCAGACTCGAAGGTGTGGGGCTGTTGTTTACCCCCCCCCCCCGGAACGGGGGTGTGAATGGACAAAGGGACACTGTCGGAGGACAGTGTTCAAGAAGAGGACACCGAACGTTGGGAGCAACGCAAGTCCGTGCACCCCACAAAGGCGAGACGACAGGTGGGACGCCACCCAAAGAGGGCGCTCTACTGGCTCAAACTAAT